AGTTTCGGCAACAGGGCCTGCAGGTAATTGTGCGGGCCTTCAGTATTGACCTGACAACGAATGAACCCCATTATCCAGGGGATCAAGATTTCCATTTAGACGGCATGCTCAACGAACATATTGTCGCCACTGCCCAGTTCTGCTATAGCTCGGAGAATATCACCGAATCCCGCATTTCATATCAACAGAATGATAACTTGAGTCTGCAAAGTCACCAACCGGATCCCTTGTGCATCTACAAACTTTACGGTACACCTCCTTGCCCGGCAGTTGGCGAGGAGCCAAAGGCTCCGAATCTTCAAACACTGGGCTCGGTCGCAGTCACTAGCGGTCGACTTCTTGCTTGGTCTAATACCTTGCGTTATAAGAAGCATTCTTTCTCTCTTCTTGACCCAAGTCGCCCAGGACATCAACGGTGCGTCGTCTTGTGGTTGGTTGATCCCCATTATCGGATCTGCTCGACTCGAAACGTACCCCCTCAACAGCATGACTGGTGGCGCAACGCCGTTCTAGAGGATTCGACCTTGTTATCGACCCTTCCCAAAGAATTGATTGATATGGTAATGAATGAAACAGGATCCTGGCCAATGGATTTGTCCGAGGCCTTGGCGTACAAGAAAAGGTCGGAAGCAGAGAGGGAGAGTGCCCATGAAGCCCAGAAGTCGATGTTTCAAAACTATTCATTTTGGTATGATTTAGAATATCGCTGAGCGGCTGTGTAGGGATATATTCAAGGTTTGATAGCTCACTTATACTTGGAGAGGGTTGTTCGTAAATTATGGGCATTTGCTCTCCTTCATTAAATTGGATGTGACATACTTTCTACCGGACGCGGAAATACTGCGCGATATACACTTGTAAATTTAGTATCGATTAAACAGCGACTTGATGCCGAGTACAATTTCCGGAAAACTCGTAATCTCAACTTTTCACTGACGATGGCCGTGAACATGTTAGCCGAATAAAATTTTTCAACCCCGAAATAAGATAAGATCTAAGTCACGATGCGTGCTTTGCTCGCTTAAAGCCATACTACTTATGTAGAGTATATTTCAATTTACAAGTAATAGGCGACGCCAAGGATTTATTCGCAAATGCCGCAACTGCTACTATCCTGCCAGCAGATGTTATTCACCTGTAGTGTATTATATATAATTATAACGTCCCGCAGGCCTGATAGATAATATTGATAAGCTTGTCTATTTACCATTGAAAAGAGATGGTTGCAGATCACCTGCTAGGGCTATGAGTAGCAACAGAGTTTATACAGAGACCATAGCTGCTAATATGGTTGGTCGCTTTAACTTTGCATTGGGATTGCTTATACCTGCTTGCCATCTACACGGCCCGTTGCTCGATAGCGATCGCTGCTATGTCTACCAAGGCCGACCTTTGGCTTCGCGTAAAAATCAACACACTCTAAGACTTGGCTGAGAATGACTAGACCACAGATCCTTTCTACCTGCCTCTAATTGGTATGGTCAATGCGCTTATTCGGCTTCCTCTGATTCCGCGGTCGTTATAATAGCCGGCGTTATATGGTAGCCGCTACCGTGCCCGTACTTGCAGCCTGAGTCATATACTTCGGTGATAGAAAGAGAACAGCCAACGAGTAAGTCATGTACCTAAATCTTCGTTTCCTGCCTAAATCATAGGCCAATTGTAGTTTTAACCTCGAATAGGAGATCTAAAAGGTCCAGAGAGGAAATACGTGGAGTCCCATCAGCCGCCGACCAATTTTCCGTTTCCGTCCCGCGGACATTCAAGCTTTCTCGGCATTCGGGGAGATAGAGCCCCGGCCTCGACTCGTTTCAGTTGATTCCTCACACAGAACCGTGGAATGAAGCAACGGAAAATTAGCAAGACAATAGAAAGTGGCTTCAGCGGTGCCGTGACAGGAACAGCATGTTGCATGTTTTTGGGGGCCATTTACTTCGCAAGGCATCACCGTGACAAACGTCAGGCCATGTGTCATGTATGCGCCTGTCTTTATGTTTCACCGCATCAGCCACATTTCAACATGCAATGCGAATGTTGATTATGTGTCATAGTGATATTCTAGACGGGGGCTAATATGCCTACCACCCCAGGAGAGAGCCTCGTGTGGGTTCGGGTTCCATCAGATCAATGTTTTAGTTATTGATCGTCATTGACTCATCGGTTGCAAAGTGGGGGGATTCCCGCTCGGAACCCGATCAAGGTGAATCAGGGTTGCTTCCATTTCTTTGCTCTTATCTCCGGTGCCAAGGGCCGTGGTTGGCCCACTGCGAACAGACACTACTCAGACCACACTTTTTCTTCTTTTTCTCCAGCAAAGAATTTTGTACGATGTACGATGGATGGAGTACGCCCTCCGATCAGGCATCGGTCTGGCCAATAGGAGGATTCATGGCCCCCACCACGCTGCCAGTCATGCTGTGACAATGGCTGTGAAGTTAGCTCTTAGGGCTGCAAACAAACGGGGGCGGTTTGCTTTTCCCGTGGTCCACGTTCTAATAGAAGCTTCTACTAAGGGCCCGCGGAGGCCGTAAGCACCGACTCGCCGTGTCGTCGCAATCATCAGTTCTTAAGTCCGAATCTTAGTTTCGAAAAGCCCGAAAGTTCTGCATGGTATTTATCTCCTTGGGTAGCTGCTACCCATCGCTAAAGATGTTTTTCTTCACAATATCGAAATTAAGCTTCCTACACCATGGAGAGCGCAAAACATAGTGAAGCGACGTTACAGGCGCAATCTGTCGCCATAGACGACAAGAGTCTACGTGAAGACGTACACACCCCACCGGCAGAAGCGCCAGTTCCAAAATCCGATGAAAAGCCCGACGAGCAGAAGTGGCTCACAGGCCTCCCTCTGCTGATGGTCATGACGGCAGTCACGCTGGTGGTGTTTTTGATGTTATTAGATGTGTCTATTGTGTCTACAGTGAGTCTACTGATAACAGTAATCGATGTAAATTTTGTTGTGCGATACGAGAGTACTGACAGTTCAGGCTATTCCTCATATCACGAACCAGTTCCATTCGCTTGATGATGTCGCCTGGTACGGTAGCGCATACACCATTGCGAGCGCATCGCTACAGCCTCTTACTGGCAAATTCTACGGCAACTTCGTTCAGAAATGGACCTTCCTCGGCTTCTTCTCGCTTTTCGAACTCGGCTCTCTCATCTGCGGTGTCGCTACCTCATCAAAGATGCTTATCGTTGGACGAGCTGTGGCGGGAATGGGGTCTTCGGGCATGGTAAACGGCGCGCTTAATATCTTGGCTAGCATCTTACCTATGCATAAGCGACCGATGTTCATGGGATTCATGATGGGATGTGAGTACTCCACTCCCAGCTACAAAATATAAAGGCTGACACTGGAGTAGTTTCTCAACTGGGACTAGTGTGTGGTCCGCTTATCGGCGGTGCATTCACCTCATATTCGACATGGCGTTGGTGTAAGTGTTACTCCTCGTCCAATTCTAGAGATACTTCTGACCACAACAGGCTTCTACATTAATCTTCCGATTGGTGCCCTGGTCGGCATCCTTCTTATCTTCACCAACATTCCGGAACCACATGCCAAACCCAGAGCTGCGGAAGTCTTCCGATCGGTGATTCTCAAGAAATTCGACCTCTTCGGATTCGTTCTGTTCGCACCCGCCGCTATTGAGCTGCTGTTGGCTCTCCAATGGGGCGGCAGTCGGTACCCCTGGAAGAGTTCGACCATTATCGGTCTGTTTTGCGGGTCCGCTGCGACGTTCGTCGTCTTCGGTCTCTGGGAGCGGCGCATGGGTAATGATGCTATGATTCCGGGACAGTTAGTGAAACAGCGCATTGTTTGGAGCAGTTGCATGACCATGTCGATGATGTTCGGAATGACCATGGTTATGGCATACTACCTACCCATCTACTTCCAGTCCGTACGAGGAGAATCTGCCCTCATGAGCGGTGTTGACTTACTGCCGAATATTCTATGCCAGCTGGTCATGGCAGTGCTCTCGGGTATCCTTAGTAAGTGGCCAGCATCTACGCCTTATTCCTTTGTACCCCAGATCCCTAACATCCCTCCAGCCGGCAGATTAGGATACTATCTCCCATGGGCCATCTTTGGCTCAATCATGACCTCCATCGGCACCGGTCTCCTGTCAATGCTCTCCCCCACCACCTCGACACGAGATTGGGCCGGCTTCCAAGCCATAGTAGGTCTTGGACGTGGCGCTGCCACTCAAGTAGTACGTTCACCCCCACCCCAACATCCGTCGCTTACTGGAACCCCCAAACTAACAGATGATGCCAGCCCATGGTCGCCATCCAAAACGCCGTAACCCCCGCTCAGATCTCCCCCGCAATGGCCATCCTCACATTTAGTCAAACCTTCGGCGGCTCTATCTTCCTCGCCGTCGCTGAGGTCCTTCTTACCGCAGGCCTGAGAAAGAAGATCCCCGAGTACGCACCTAGCGTCAACCCCGAGACTGTCATCTCAGCGGGCGCTACTGGATTCCGGGATGTCGTTCCAGCCAAGGATCTTCTGTCGGTGCTAGTTGCGTATTCGAAGGCGATTGATGAGGTATTCTATCTGTGTGCGGCGCTTTGTGTGGTTCAATTCTTCTTTGTGTGGGGCATGGGGTGGAAGAATGTCAAACAGGGGAAGCAGGAGCAGGAGAAGAAGAATTTGGATGGGGAGGCTAAGGAAGTGGTTTAATAGTGCTCTTGGATTCTGTGGAATGGGTGGGATTGCATTGCATGGTTTTGCGGTGTTGCGTTAGAATATCATAGAGTCATAGTTGGCTTGATTAGCGACTGGTTCGTGTTAATGATAATTATCTCATCTCATGCTTGCCATTGTATGCTGCTTATTGTACATAAATGGAAGGTGATGACAGATTTGCCCAATGATTTTAGGAGGTAGACTCATCGAAAGGTATGACTTTTAGTGGTGTAGGTAATAGAATTGTCATTATGATCGCCATACTACTACACGGTTGAAACAGCAAGTTTGGGAGACACACACACACACACACACACACACACACACACACATGTATATATATAGAGAGAGAGAGAGAGGCAGGGAAAGATATTGAACATGCAAGCTACTAGAATAGGCAATGATGATTCCAGAAATCGCAGCAGATACACAAGTAGAAGTAATAGAAGCAATAAAAGGAAAGGCAAACTGCAGAATAGTCTCAGAAATAGAGACAATGAAAACGGCCTAGCTGTTGCCAGCACTCAACGGCTACTAAATAACATGAAACAGGTATTCATTGGAAATTGCTGGTGGATGAATACAAAATGCCTAGTAGGTCTGGGCAATGGCTGTGAATGCTAGTATGATCGGACCAAGATCGTCCATTGCATCAGGGTTAAGAGTGTCCCAAGGGCCGTACTGATGCATGACTAGGAATGGATTGTTGCGAGTCTGCCCAGTCTGGAGATAGTCAATGTAATTATCGTCATACTCAGCCACGGATATATAGATCTCGTGCCTATCCTGCGATATGATGAGGCGATGGCTAATATGATATCAACAGTAAGCTTGAACCATCCATAATATAATCAGGACCTTGTATATCTATTCACTCACGGTTTATTCCGGCGCTGCACATGGGGAGATGTGTAGTCTGCCAATAAGTTCGCAACAATTTGGTGACTTTCCTGTATACGAATCTGCGTTTCCTTATTGTTTCTGATGACTGGCTTGATCTCGACGATGGCTTTAATGTCCCCCTTGCTGTCTGCGAGATAACCGTCTGTCCTGGCCTGGAATTCCATGTTGGTAAATGTTGCTTTAAAAGCCATACGATGTATCGACCAACCAACGGAGAGATCGAAATGCAATGTGAGAGAATCGAGGAATGTCAGGAGTGCAGTATTGACGATCTGTTCATCCTTTGTCGGGGGATACAGAAATTCATCTTCCGGACGTATAGGGCTCCATGGAGTGCGGACCAGTGGTGAGGAGACAACTGACATTGAATCAGACTCGTCATCAAGTAGGGCAGTATCAAAGTTAGGATCTGGATTGGTAGGAGGCGATTTCGTGAAGTCTGGTTGGGCTGGAGGCTGGCTCGTTTGCTGCTTCGAGCGCGTCCGATGGGCTACGGGTGTGAATTGAACACCACTACCAGTCGGGCTGTCCTGATCGGTCCTCGTTACTTGCAGTTGGTAATGGCGTGCCAATGCAAACGTTCCTTGCTGAACTGGACCGGTAAAGCTGTTTTTGTAATTGGCCCAGGACCCGAGACCTTTTAATCTGGTGCGGGCATCTGGTAGAGCTTGGCTCAAGTCGACGCGCCTCAGGAATTTGGATGAATCATAGCGCTTCCAGACGACTCGGAGAAGGAGGAATTGCTCGAATTCTGCACGCGAAGCCGACTTGAGCGGCGCGTCATGGATCGTGACTTTATCAAGATCCAGGTGCTTGACTTCCTTCAACCATTCTTCAGGAGACTGAGGAATGACCTTTCTTGCGTCGGCCATGGTGACGGAATAGAACAAGAGTAAGTGGTACGTAGTACGCAGGATTAAAGAAGGAGGCTTGATGGTAGGCGTTCGGTTTGTTGGTGATCCTGACGGGGATACATGGATATGGAGCCTTTTATGTTTAGTAGTGACAGCTGCTTTATCATTCTGTAATATGACCAATGTCCAGCAAATGAGCAGCATGTATGTACTACGCCCTGATATTGTTATTCTTGAAGCGCTGAAAGGTGGTACGTGGCAGGCAGATCTTGTCAATTTAAAGCAAAGGATCATGTATGTCTTCAATATGTGACATTAGTTGTCGGAGCGCATGTATTAATAGTATACTCTTTCACTATGATTCGTAAAGAGTGCTCTGTGAGAGTTACTTTGACGCTGAGGGGTTACGTAGGCACCCATCCAGTCCACGACAGGGCCGTTATTGAGCGCTTACCGGGCGAATGAACCATTGACCCAGGGTTAGTACCGCTGGCAGATGCTAACTACAGCATGATCCGCGTTCATGGACCAATAATAATGTCATTTAGCAATATAATTCGAAGACCAAGAAAGATCGTTGTCTTACAACAGACCAGGTATTTTGTTACATGTTGGATGGACCGGGTTAGCTGAAACGTTCCCGATTGGTCACAGCCGGTCACGGGCATGTCACGGGAACAACCCGAGTTGTGCCCCCGGCGGCCGCAACGGCGCGAAGGGGAAGACCTACTTTCCCCACTAGTCGATCGCGAACGAAACTATAAAGTGGTCTTCTTCTAAATGTAAGCCAGATATTCCACTCATTTGCGCTGAGTCCGATATTTTACTTCTCACTGCACTGCGCTGTCATCGTCTAATTTCATCACCATGAATCGCGCCACCGAGCCAAGAGACCGTTACAATCTCCGCAAGGCCCTGGCCCTCATGGAAAGGGATATCAAATTACTCAGAGAGACAGACACCCATGTTCTTGATCAGGGTATCATGAAACGGTACAAAGTCCGAGCATTACCGCTGAGTCTCAATGCTCAAGATGCTCGCGCACCCAAGTTTTTCACCCCCTTCGTACCAGAAAACATGCCGGAACCTACGGCGGAGTATGTCGACCACGAGTACAACACGTCTTCTACGCTGTCACCAGGCGAATGGGGATGGTCTATCTACCTTTACCTTGACGCGTATGTCCACAAGCTACTGGTCAAATATCCTGAGGTTTGGCGGACGTGGTCGTGCAAGCAGTAAGTCTTAAAATCCTTTAACTGGGTTTCCCGGCTGATTATCCCGTCCCGCCAGGGTGGGAGATTATGATTTCGGAGACCTCCACCGAACTTTCGACCCTAAATTCGGATCGCTGGCGATCTGGCATGTTTTAGAATCCTCAAGGCCGCATATCAAGTGCATCATGCACAACAACCTCGACTCTGATGACAACTACCTCCTCCGTGGGGAGGTGTTAACTGTCATCCGCATTATGCTGGGCCAACTGAAGCAGAAGATCTTTGTAAATGATATGATTGCACCGGTAATACTATCCTTTTCTGCCTCGTCTTCAAATAAAATGAAAAACTAATCATGATGCCAGGTTCTACTGTTTTCGCTGAACCGACGGCGTCCACGCGTCATTGAGGCATACTTTGATGGACAGGAGCTGGTAGTACGCCGCACCGAACCCTATGATTTCCAATATTTGAACATGGAAGGGTTTAAAACATTTGCGCAATGGTTCCTTGGATATCCCATCGGCGATACATCAAAACGGGCAGTCCGAACTTGATGCGCCGTTCAGATGATGCAAGATGTTGAATTATGGTGTTTTCATGGTTTGATGATTGGTATGCAAGTGAAACAGTTCTTCATAGTTATTGTGCTTAATCTTCTTCTTGGTGTGATCTGTAGCCCTAGCATAGCAATCCATTTTCAAGCTCTCTAAATCTATTCTTGCCAGCGGACATAATTTTAGTCTCTAGATCAATGCCATCTGATCCGGGTAAGTGAAAGCGGTATGGCAAAGCATAGAATGGCCGCGGATGCGCCTTGCCTGAACACCTCGGAGTCGATGCTTTCGCTGTTAATGTAGTATTGAAGTCTTATTGTTGAGGAGAACGGATAGATGAAGCCCCATCCACTACTTGACATCGATTACTACCTTCCCGCAATGCTGGCCTGACCACAAATACATATACACACCTCCTTGGAGTCATTGAGAAGAAAGATCCCTCTTGTCAGTCGGGCATCAGTAAACGCCGCCGAGGGTCGACCTGCACGGGGGCACTGCACTTCTTTGAAAGTGAAAGGTAATATACTCTTATGGCAATGATCTAAAACAGAGTATAAGGTAAGCACTTCTATCTAGTCAAGCCTTCACCAAGCTGTATGCCCACCATCGACAACTACAGTACTACCAGTCATGAAGCTCGAAGCATCGCTCATAAGCAACAGAGTGATTCCTCTAAACTCCTCCGGCCTCGCTAGCCTCTTCATCATATTCTCAGACGTCCACAGATCTTGAGTATCCGGATCCTTCTCCATAACCATCTTTGCCATTGGCGTCTCAATATGCCCAGGACAGAGACAGTTCACACGAATCCCGCCCGTGCCGTCTTCCTTGACCTCAGACCACTCCATAGCCAGACTCCGCGTGAGCTGGATAACTGCCGCCTTGGACGAATTATAAACGGCAGACTCCATACCCTTGTTGGCGATGATGCCGCTCATACTTGCCACAAGGAGAATGGAGCCGTGGCACTTCATAGCCAGCATTGCTTTGGCAGCTGAAACAGCGCTGCGGAAGACGCCCGTATAATTGATGTGGATCACGTCGTCAATATTCTTAGGCGTGTGATCGATCGCACTAGCAACATAGTTTATTCCTGCAGCTGCAACAAGGCCATCTAGGCGGTTGTTTTGTGTTGCGATATCGGCCATCACCGCTTCCGTGTTTGCGTCGTCGGTGACGTCCATGCGCCTATAGTGCGAAGAGCCTCCATAGTCTGGATTTGCACGTGCTTCTGCGGCGTGGAATTCGTCGTCTGGTTTGGGAAGTCGGTCAAGACAGTATACTGTATATCGTTGATATGAGTTATGGGCACCCAACAAGTAAGAGTGAAGAGAACAAACGGCTCACCTCGTCCGCCAGCTTCGACCAATGCCTCGGCCATTGACAACCCTAACCCCCTTGCACCACCTGTCACAGCAAATACTTTCCCAGCAAGTGAGAACTCTCTGAATCGCTCATGAGACTTCTCACTTCGAGGCAGCCTTTCTTTCACGTGGGCCTGTCCGGCCATAGACCGTTTGAAGTTCGATATTGCGCTGCAACACAAGGGTTTTCTAACCGGTAATCTCAGGCTTGAAATGCCAAACGTAGAAAGATGAGAATAAAGCAGTGCTGCTCTGACCTGTTGCGATAACATCTTGGCTCTACTAATCCTAACCCGGCGAGCCTCCCCCTTTATATGTGATCTACCAAGTCTTTTCGTCCGGCAATGGAGAATATGTATCTTCTAGCCCAATGGATGAAAAAAAAGTGAATAGCTAAGATATCCATTCTAGTAGAAGACATTGGTCCTTCCGAGCCGGGGGAAAATGATGTTTTGAAGCTCATGCGCCAAGGATGTATTTGTACATATGTCAAGCTTCCGTCATCATCGACGCAAGGGCTGGGCAGCTGACACTTCCAAGATATGAGCTGGGAAGATGACTTCGCTGTTACATGCTCGGTAATTATAATGGTAAAATATAACATTCTAAGCACAAGATCCTGCGTGACAAGGATAACGGAAATATGATCTTCATACTACGTGTGCTAGGATAGTAGTGGGACATGATATGTTTCCGAAGCAGCGATAACCCCTCGGCTACAAAATCCTACATATTGTGACAAAATGATGGCTGCAGTACTAATAGTGTTTTGACTTTACTTCCTCTAGCCTTACGGCGGTCAATTTCAGGATTACATCTCCGCGGTTGGGTAAAACTATAGTGTGAACAAGATGGGAAATCGATGAGCATCTAACGGTAATCGCTCTCACAGCACCCCTTTAAACAGAAGATTTGCCGTTCGAATTTGTTCTCAAAAGTCTGTATTAATATTAGTTGATCGTTCTCTTCCACCCCTTCCTCTGCTGCTTGGTATTCCATGGATGAACGCCTCATTACATCATTGTATGACTATCAGGGGAGGCGGCAAACCTTAACTTCAGGTTCCTGGATGGGAACATTCATGCGTCATACCGCGTGACCTAAATCAAGTAATACTAGAACTGCGGAATGTAACCATTAAGTAGCTAATGGGAATTTCCAGTGCAAGCTCACATATACCATTCTGGGCTGAATGTACCTGATAGGCTCCAAACCTTTCTTCGCACAGGTAACTTCACAACTCAAGATGGAGCTCAATCAGTATTCACTTATGATCCTATGTCGCTTCTCTTCCGGAAGAGAATCTGCAAATCTCCATAACCCATTGTGAACCGATCTTTCGCCTTCCCCTCAAAGGCTGTCCCATCCTCTCCCGGCGCGAACTCGAAATCAAACATCGTGACCAGCCGTACTAAAGTGTTACGGAGGGTCAGCAAAGCCAGGGGTTTGCCAATGCACCCATACGGGCCTAATGAGGTGTTGGTCAGCATCGGTGGCCCTAGGGGTAAAGAGATCTGGCTCGCCTAACCTAGCGAAAACGGGGCAAAAGCGGCTCTCTGCTTCACCATCTCTGGGTGTAGATACCAGCGCTCGGGATAGAACTCCTTCGAACGCTCATAGACCTCTTCATCTATAGCAAATACGCAATTAGCCCTATGTATGAAATGTGCGCGAGGACTCGGACCTACCACGGCCTAGCACATACTGCGGGCACATAACCGTCATGTTACCCGGGATGTAGACCCCCTCGATGGTGATTCCTTCTGGTGGAGTCTTCCTTTGTAACGAAACCGCGGCTGGCGGGTGGAGCCGCAAAGTCTCGTTGATGATTGCGTTGAGATGTGGTAAGTTGGCTATCTTTTCATGTAAGACCTCATGCGACGGATCTGTTATGTACGGGGAAACTTCATCACGAAGTCGCTGCAACTGCTCTGGATGCTGTACTAATTGATATATTGCGGCCACGAGGATGGTAGCTGTCGTATCACTGCCAATTTGTCAGGGCTCTCGATCATTCACAAGACCTATCGTGCTTTCCTAACCTGCCAGCTAGTATAACCAACTGTGCGTCTCCTCGTAATAGTTCCCATTGCTCTCGTGAGGGCTGCTGGCCCTTGATCGGCGCCACAAGAACTGAAGCAATGTCAGGAATCTCCGCTGGAGTCTACGTCTTGTCAGAATGGGATGAAGCTGGAAGCTGACATATTCGTGGGGAGCAAACCTTGATTCGCTCCATCATCCTCTCGCCACAAAAGTCAAACAACCGCTGCCAAGCCCGCGACAACCCTGGAATAGAGGTGACAACACGGAAGAACCAAGTGGGCAAATACAGGCCGAGAGGGATCATTGCCTGTTTGAGTAAGTGTATAGCCCAGTGGTTCTCCTGTGCTTCGAGCATGCCGAACGACTTTCCGAAGGTGAGGTCACCCATGAAGTCGTAGCTATATAGCTCAAACCATTTGGTGATGTTGACAGGCTTACCAGCTGTAGCCTGTGAGCTGAAGTAATCTACCAGGTAGTTTAGGTAGCGACGCAATCGCTCTTCGTAGCCGCGCACTGCCTTATCCCCAAATGCGGCACTCCAAACGCGGCGTCGCTCTTCGTGGGCTTTCTTGTCACGCATAGTTTGTAGCGATACCATGGGATAGCTAATGTCGTACCAATCTGCTTTAGTACACCTGGATCCCGGTCCATATATTACATTTACAGCCTTGGAGTGCGCAATAGACAGGTAGTTGGGTCGAAGACGAACGAACGGACCATACTGCTGATGTAGCCTCTGCACCTGCCGAAATGCGTCGCTGTGTCGGAAAATAACTGGGAGAAAGAGACTGGTGATCCTACAGCCGAAGGGGCCTGGAAAGGCGTTGAGGGGATGGAAGAATACGCGATATATGAGAATGCTGATGTAGTAACCGCCGAGCATGCTGCCCTGAATGCGGGCTGCTTGAGTGAAGGCAGCAGTAACATTTAGCCCATATCGATGCTGGAAAAACAGCACCTCTGCTATCAATGTCGTTGCAAATATTTGAAGGTAGAGGACAATTCTGAGGTGATTCTCTCGATTTCTGAAGTAGACATGGTAGGAGACCGCCCCAGCTGCAAAAAGGACGAGGTAAGACCCCGACATCATAGTGTTTTCTTGGAATGAGTTCGTTGTAATCATCCGCCATTGCTACTTTCTCGCTTTAATACCTATGTTCTCTGACAACTAATTGTTTGGTGGGGTCGGAGATGTTGGGGAGTGTGGGGAGTATTGGGAGGGTAAATGACGCAGCTGACGTTGTATGAATGGGACCCGGCCTACCCGAGGCAGCCGAAATCCACACGCTTTCCATCAAATTACTTACAGTCCAATCCAATTCACAGAAAAAAAAATAAAATAAAATAAGGTTGCCTTCATTTTCTTTAAGTTTTGCATGTTATATTTTTGCCGTTTTGATCGAATGGATGACTATTCAAGTAAATTAGAAGCCACCCCTTTCTCCGAGGTATTTCATGCGTATAGATCTCGCGCAAGATTTACAACTGGGGACAGGAAATTAGTCGATGTTCTTGGAAAATATCCTCTAATAAAGAAAGTCATAGTTGGGTATGATCGAGCGAAGTAGCAATCCAGTAATCAGGTTTGTGAAATAGTTAAACTTTGGGTTAAGCGGAACCATCGGAATGAGTGGTAGAGCACTGTGAGGTCATGAATAACATTCTCCCACGCGGCCCTGTAGCTTGCATTTGATGGCTTAAGCAAGCTGGTGATCCTCAACCGTGGTGCTGTATCGAGATACTGTGTTTCGTGGATTCTTTTCACCTCGTTGGCAGGCTCTCTAGTGTGACGAGTAGATCCCATGCTAAGGCATTAGTACAAAGAGGAATATGGCACTAGTTATCGCCGGAGGGAGAGAAAGTGTGGTTATGCAAAAATGTATTGTTTCATGAGTATTTATGCATCTTTAGGGTGTAGACAGTGCACCCAATTGCACTTTATCATGCTTGTTGAATTAATCCATTTCCCAACTCTTCCTTGCGTTTGAGTACGATGAAACCCATGAGGGACGTGCTGTCTAGAGACATCATTCACATGGCTTGTATGGGCGGCTGATTGTTCGACTGCACATTGACTTGAAGATAAGTCAAACTAGGAAAATAGAAGGAGGTGTCAGGAGATGGTATACAGCATTGTGGATTTAAAATGCGCAAGTATACTAAAGAGTCAGTCATATTCAAGCCACCTAGGGAAAATGTGATATCTATTCTAGGAAGGGAGGCGTCGAAACAGAAGAATGAGGACCACGATGCTGACTCATATCGCGCAGCGCTTCGTATATACCATCGAGGATTACGGCAAAGGGCTCATAAGGCGCACTTGAACCCAATAGACCTTCCAGACAATTTCCTCACTGATCGTATGAACGTCCTGAGCATCCTCCTATCCCTCGATCTGAGACAACGATGTGAAAAGATCGCACAGTTCTTGGCGTGCTTCATAATCCGGCTTCCCAATCAGCGACATGTCCAGGAAACTTTTAACTTTGAGTGTTTGAACAAGCAATTTACTGCCTGCCCCCCAAGCAAACTGTCAAATGCCATGACACGTTTGATTCAACATTTAGACCTGGATTAGAGGACAGCAGTGAATCCATTCCCTGGCCATACCCAGCTAGAATTATGAACATATTATGCTCAAACCGTGGGTTTGTCATAGCACCCACTAGCTCTCCCACTACTTCTTTCAATGATTGATCGTTCTCAACAAGGAGATGAACTTTGTCTAGGAGTAAGACCTTCCCCAAGGCCCGGTCAAATAGGTCAAGGACCTTAAGCCCTGTGTCGCCTGAATACTCCCCAACGAGATCGGCGACAGAGTATTCTATGACTTCAGGGGTAGCGAAAAATCTCATGTGATGAAATATCTCGCCCATTCGCCGTGCAGTCGAAGCTTTACTAGTACCTGTAGGCTATTTACACCTGACGTGGTCTTCATGATGCAGATTGCATACCTGGTGCTCCTCGGAAGATATAAATGACCGGGATTCGTTCTCTGGAGTCGAGGTTCCCTATGATAGTTGGATTGGCGATTCGTATGTCGTCTAATAGCTGTTCAACAAAGGAGCCGCAGCCTGTTACACTGGAGGAAAGCTTTCGGTATTCCTCTTCCACATCGAGAACCCGGTTCCAGACTTTGGAGAAGTCTTCCACAGTCAAAACTGTTGGATCCATACTGGAGTCGGACAGATAGCGTCTTTGGCAAGATAATTGTGCATTTACCACAATTTGCTCAACGTGACGAGCGTTGGCAAAGCGAGGGGATACCAAGGCTTGTCGTATCATCTCTATTGCTACCTCGCTTGCCTCAGGAAAGCAGGAAACCCGAACCTCTTTCTTGCGAAAATTCATAATCTGATCCAGATGCGCTAAGGAATATTCTTTGAACCGAAACGAAGATTACATTGGAAATGTGCTAGACAGACCGGGATTGACATGACGAAACATCTCTCTTAGTTCATACTCATAAACAACGAGCAGAATACACTGAGATGATGTCCGACTTTCCGAGACACAGTTTACCAAGGTGTCAATAGCTGCTTTGTGGAGCGGATTCGGGTTCTTCCCTCCGCCCCACAGGGTATAGGCATCGTCATTGATCAGGACATTCCCTTCGGCTTCATGAATGGCGTTTTGAACCCGTTCCGCCGTCTCTCCGATATCCTTACCGATCAGCCCGGACTCAGTTTCGCGGATTACTCCATCATCAACATCCATTAGCACATATTTTACTTTCTTCTTGAGGGCAGTGGATATGGGTTGTTAGGTGCTTACTATCGTCTCTAGGCAGCAATCCTATGTCGTTTAAGATGCGGCCATATAGGGTGGCAAACGTAGTTTTACCGGTCCCAAGGGGGCCCTTGAGGGTCCCATCCAATGAAATAGTTCGAATGGGTTGACCGATGCTCATTCGCTGAGCCTTCATCTTTGCCTGTCTGTGCAACTGGCGTACTCGCTCCTTCACATCATCCAGGCCGACCATTTTCTGCAATGATTTCAATGCCTCACTGTCCTGTAAGGGGTCTAGTTGGGATGAAGCCTCTTCAACTTCAGGTTCCTCGTCTGTTTGGCCGTCGTCTAGGTCAACGTTTTTCGTAAGTGTCTTAATGACAATGAAGCCTCCTGCCACCAATCTGTCCCACAAAGTCTGCCAACTTGAATCCAGCACGAGGTCTTCAATATTGTTGGGATGGATGCAATCCAGTAACTTTTTTGGGTCTTCCTTAATCAGCATGAGTCTCTTTGTAGATTGCGTTAGAATAGCCAGTAAGCATGCTTCGTCGATTTCATTTGCTCCTTGCCCCACTTCAATATCGGCTTCCAAGCACGATAGGTCTGGCAGGCAGGATGGGATGTTCTGTGCACCAAAGAGGAATATCCGTGCATCCAGAGTTGATGAGCTGCGCATGGAATGTTCGCTGATCTTGTGCGCTAAATTTCGTTGACACGTATCGTGGACTTTCAACCATAAGGCCAATCTCTCTGTGTAATGATCCCGAATGTTAGATCCCCACTCTATCAATTGTTTCCTACGTGATACCTGGGCTTGTTCTCCGATTTCCAGATATTGCGAGAGAACTGTGTATGTCAGGTCTCCAGGCCTTTTCCCGAGACCTAATCCTCCAAAGCAGTCATTTGTGGTTCGTTCTTGTTCTGGTAATGAAGCTCCAAGTCAAGCTTACTCTCGATACTGATTTCCGAAAATGCATGGAAAAACCGAGAATTTCTCACGGAATGTTTCAGATAGTCCATAATTTCGGGGGTGGCGCGATGTGGGTCTCTGATAACTTCAATTGCACGCGAAAAGTCCCGCTTGATTGTTTGGCACTGAATTCTGAGGCTATCGATCTGGTGGCGAGCGACTAAATTCGGGTCTTTATCGCTACCCGGGCTAATCGTCCAGAATTGGGTCGGGTCACATCCCATTTGCGGCGATAGTACTGCAATATCTTTCTTGGAAACCTGCATACTTTGCAGCTGTATTGCACTCTTCCTCAGCTCCTCAGAAGGGCTAATCAATAGGATTTTTTGCCTTGTGAAAAGCCGCGATGAAAACTCGCAGAAAAGGAATGTTTCGTCGCCTGTCCATTTCCGGGGGTAAGCTCACGTCTTGTTCGATAATTGACGTCTGGTACTACTTTCTTCGTGTAGTTCTTCTTCAAACAGACACACTTTCCTGTCGAAAGCCAGTGCCCAATGGAATGAGTGTTGACAATAGGGTAGAGTCTCGAGCAATGATTAGGAAAGAAGGCTTTGGGGGATCACAATCGCCAATATAATCACTACGTCACGGTCGAGTGAACACGAGAGAAGAGCCCGCAAGAAAAGCATTTAAATCCTCCTTGCCTCCAGCCTGCTCTAGTTATGGGGCTCGTGCAGGCCTGATTCGCTAATTTCTCGGCTAGTGCTTACCTGCCACTCTATTCTGAGCCTTGTGTCCACCCCCGGTTATCCGAGCATCCTTTACTTCTACGTCCAAAGGGCAGTCGGGGGAGAATGATCCTAAACAGGACGGCTTCAGGGGGTGAGAGCATTTATTCCGGCCGTTCAGTTAAATGTAGGGAGAAAAGATACCACCGTTTCATACTGAAAGTACTCATCTGGGCATTACGTTGAAGGAACAGTCTCCCAATCAACACAACAACACCTTAGACCGGAATCTTATCAAACTACTTCTTTGCTTCTTCATTCAACGCCAGCAATGTATTTGGCTCGAGGCCTACACTGCCACTTGAGATAGCATTGAAGGGTGGAGGAGTGGGGCAATGATTAGTGGCCATCGGGCGGAAACTAGAACCACTTCTCAGTCCGTTCACTGTCTGTATATTCTATCATCCAAAGCCCTAGTTTATATGAGAAACATAGTAATTAGCAGATAAAGTGATGCCTCTGTACATTTTAATATATATCTCATATATGACTATAGGGCCCACAAATTCTTTTTGTCCGATGGCCGCATATCACGGCCGTAGTATGGGGTAAATTGCTTTCCCTCATCAATGAGCACGGACACCTGGGTGACCCGCATACTCTTCCTAATAGAGAAGGTGAGAAGGCTTAGCTATGCATATACAGATACCATGTGGAGGCACAATCGGGCAGCAGCAGAGATGTTGGCCCAATCCCTGACCGGCTGGGAGACAATGGGAAAGGTAAGTTCGGTTAACGGGACTTTTTGAAAATTTTGTGTTAGAGCTGATGCGTCAATCAAAAAAAGTTCTCCGAAAAGATACAACAGGCAAAAATATAAAGGCTCCCTGTCAGCCCCGCACAGTCTTTGCTTTCTTGAGAAATAGTGGACAAACAAGCGTGTGCTCAAACCCGTTCAGTGTGATCCAAGGCCCATTATGATGAAACCTAAAAATCTGACCTAGGTTTTCCGCCACTCGTCTCCCCCCTACAAGCGCTAACGGAGTGAGAAAAATATCTACTAGAGTGGAAAGCACCTCCTCCCCATGAACCGGGTCCCCCAGTTCCCCTGCAGCTTTCTGTAATTGTTGCCGGAGTCTCCTGGCTTGGCCCATGGCGCTGGGCACTCGGTTGGTGATGTCGTATGCGATCCATCGGGATGAGAGGCGGATTATGCGCACCTGTTCGTCGGCGAGGATGTTTCCGAAAACTCGAGCATTGGGGATAGTAACCTGGGAGAGGAGCTGGTGGTCTCGAGACAAGAGATTCACAAGAGTGGCGCCCAATGCCCCTGCCAGTGAAGCAAACGTGTCGAGCATTTCCAGGACGAGGAAGCGATTCTTGGACCACTCGGTCTGGGTCAGACAATATTTATCGGACATATCATGGTACTTGGAAGGCTGGCGAAGAAGATGAAATTGAAGCATGGACAAGGTCTCGCCCGGCATCGCCCAGAGTGCATCCATCGGGATGGCGAAGGTAGTAGTAGTAGCCTTTGGATGCTGGGCCGCCAGCGTGTCTTCAATCCTGTCTGTGACCTTGTCTACAAGAAGGGAAAGGTGGACCCATGATGTAGGCAGATTGTGTGGTGATGCTGATTCTGTCAAGCGCAAAGATATGTGCTCGATGAGGTCGTAGTCAATGGTCGGTCGGCTTTGGCAAAAGTCAGTGATCATGCTCTTGGGTTGGTAGAAACTCTGATTGAATCCCTCAATATTTGGTCCGAAGCTTAGGAGGTACCGTGGCCAACGAAATCTTGCTTCTTCTGATTCTTCGTAGTGGACCTTGTTACCTGCCACGTTGTCTGGAAACCGGGGGATAATAGAGTCAAAATTTTCGCCGCTCAGCAGCCGCATGACAAGCCACTGGCAGCTGTTTGTCCACATATTCCAGCCTTTCCGCATCTGTTTTTCAACAAGTATCCTAACAATCCGATCCAGATGTTTGTTGACCTCCCCTCCCAAGCATTCTTTGAGGGCGCGGTTCACCCTGCCCGCGGCCTTGCTGAGTAGATTCGCTCTGACCTGCGCCATCTTCGTCATTGCGATACTTCCAAAGGCATTTGCCTCTTTCACAAAGGTGTCAATAACTCTGGCCTGTCGAAGGCGGGCAGACTCGGGATAGCCCGAGAATGCGCCGCCATATACACGCTTAACGCAGGCAAGCAAGGGCCGTTGCTTGATCTTTATCTTCTTGTACTGAAATTCCAGTCGCTTGGTTTCCTTGTGCCGGTAGAAGAATGGACATGACACTTTCTGCGCTTTGCCGATGGTTTGGGAGAGTAAAGATGGTGGCATTCTGGGAGATACGCGCATGCCATGATTGATTCTTGCGATTTATTAGACAGGATGGCAGCCCAATCGAATGCAACGAATTGGGGAATTCACTCACCTTTTCAGCCCGGACTCGAATATTAGAGGCCCAAACATGAACGACAGATGGAAGTTTCCAGCGGGGGCTAGGTTTCCTTTGAGCATCAGTGCCCAAGTACGCAGAAATTGGGATATGGATCCCTTCGTCTCTGCTTCCTTGAGTATTTTCATAGCCAGTCTTTCTCGCCAGGAGAACTTAGAAGCGGTTGGAAGATTTGTATCCTGTTTCTGCTTCTTCCCCGTGTAATTTCCCTTTGCGTGGTCCTTTTCCCTCCTCCCACTTTCATCTTCCCTCTCACTTTCGTCTTCCCTCTCACTTTCGTCTTCCCTCTCACTTTCGTCTTCCCTCTCACTTTCGTCTTCCCTCTCACTTTCGTCTTCACTTTCGCACTCGTTTTCCATCTCGCTCTCGTTCTCACTCTCACTCTCGTCTTCCATGTCGTTCTCATCTTCACTCTCTATCTCGTCTTCTAATATCTCATGTTCATTCATATTTATGTACTTGTTCAGTTGAGCCCGTAGCTCTATGATAGCTATACGTGCAAATATTCTCAAGTTAGTAATAAGCCAGGGGTATTGTCAGAGAATACTCAATGCTGACCAGGAATATCTGGATCTTCATAGTGTACCAGACCGAGATGGTGGCCTGGCTGACAGACCTCAACTCTGTTCTTACATGGCGCACAAAAATACCGAAGACGTGGCGTGGAGTTCATGGAGGCTGTGTCGAACCTGCGTTCCTGCCACTCATGCTTGGTATACTCATACTCGTACCGGATGTAAGGCTCGCAGTCATGCATACACTCGTAGTAAACCTTCGATTGGATGAGTTGACCGCATGCACTACACGAGATTCCGTAGAGCCTTGGTCTCATTACTCTGGTGGTATTTGCGTCGTTCGTTATGGCACACTTGACTGAGAGTAGCTGGTGAGATGGTTGTTGTGAAGAGCATGGGAGCCTTCGTTTACCTACCATTGGGGAGGTTTGGTTGCATATTTAGGTAGTCTTGAGATAGTTGAGTAGGTTCGTAAAGAATGTCAATATCCAGAAAGCCTTTTTGGTTAGGGTGCGTTTCCATAAATGTTGCTACACTCTCACTCACTTGAGGACTGCAGGATAAGGCGTGCATAGCGGTGATCATTGCTCTCCAGCTCATTCAGGTGCTCTGTTGTATGTTAAAGGTTGGCATGTGACACTGGGTTCATACTACTCACCTTGGGCTCTTTGCAAGGTCTCGTGGTAGAGGCTTGAACCAGCGGCCTTGTCGAAGTTGGGTTGACTACCAACTGCAAGAACGGTCACACCTAAAGCAGTATAGGTACGTCAGGAACCGCGGTACTTACCCCAGATATTGAACATCTTCTCGAAGTTATCACATTCCAATCTGGGAGGGACATGAGGTTGATAAGCGGCCTTTTTCATCTCGCAGTAGAATCTGATCATGTTCTGAACTTCATCCCGTACGGCAACCCAATAAAGCCTCCTGAGTTCTTTTACGATGGTCTTGGGTGTTGCAGGAATTCCGTGTTTCGTATTTCGTTTCTGAGGGGCACCCTCCATTCTGCTACAGGTGAAGTGGTATAGTGGATCTGTGTTGACAGAGAAGAAGGGCGCTGAAGAGTCTGTTGGATTGTTCTTGGGGTTTGGATTTGCGTGCTCACAGGTCATGAGGGCCCCATTACCGGTAAACATGATGGGACCGCTATATATCATCACATAAAAGACTGGAAGCAAGTGTCGACGGGTGCAGAACCACCCCCAAACTTGGGCTTGGGTAGGCAGCTTTCGGTCATTCCGAGACAGCTTCGGGGAATCGTAATCAAACGAGGCATCCAATATCGACCGATTCAGTGTCTATTGATTTGTTGTGTATATGTGGGTCCGGCTGTTGGCGACCCGACCTCAACCAGCCACCCACTCGGGCTGCACGCTGGCTGCGGAATCAGACCCGCTCAATGTGGGCAGCGTTTGGTTATACCAAGTTGGTGGGGCGTGGGCATCCATACATCTTTGGGCTAAGATACTTCAGATTTGGACTGCCCAAACTTCCCAAGAGGTTTCGAAGGGCTTCGTTGACACTAGACTCAGACGTACACGTACTGTTATAAGGCTGTTGCAAGGCTTCCGATTGTGCAATGAGTTGGCAGTACAAGGTTGAATAGGTTAGGAAACAGTGGGTTTCACTTTTAACCCTAACCCTGTCTGCCCACGGGGTATAGTTTTTTCTATACCAGCGGGTCAGTCTTATTTATACTCCGCGCACCTACAATGACTTTGACACGGACAAGCAAGCGTACTTCTCAATCGCAAACGCCTCAACCATGACAAGAAGAGATACACCGAAAGACGGGAAGGCTGGAAATGCCCTCAGACGATTCGGAGCGAAACTCTTGTTAACCAAGCGCCCGGTTGTTAAAACAGCCAGAGTGGCTGCTACATCCAGCGCGGGGATACAGAGCTCGAGTAGTGCTCCCTCTTCCCAGCACTTGACCGGTACATCAAGGGCTGCCGCGGAGGCTTCGAATTTTCTGGAAACAGTTCTCGCAACTGCCGACCGTGGGTACTCCCTCAGATGATCACATGTTAGCCTGGTTAAAAGCTCAATCAGCGGCTGACTCCGTTCAACAGCAATGACCTTCACACAAGAATGCATCTCGGATGAATACCGTATCAAGCTTGAAAAGCTACCAATTCACAAAGTCGAGAAAACAGACAACACGGAACCATTTCAAACGTATGATATGTGATATCTTTCGCAGCAGCTCATCAGCTAATCCGCCATACTGTAGGACTGACGACACATGGCGACTTATTGAACTAGCAGCCGAGAAGTCAGTTAATGCTTACTTTGAATCACCCGAATTGCCTCCCGACTCCCCGGTCTTTGAGCTGACGCCCAGGGGAGACTCAAAGAGAATTCTCGGGACTGTAGTGGACTCTGTGCTAGTTGTGGCAGTTCGCGGATCAACCAGCGTAATGGACTGGATGGTGAATGGAAATGGCGAGCCAATAACCCCTTCCCAGGTAGAACGATCATCCTCCATGCGCTATATTCAAGATTGTATCCTCACGCTGACTATTCCGCCAGAGCATTGGAGAACCAGAAGCCGGATATCATAAGGGGTATCTCGCTGTTGCCGAAGCGATGCAAGCGCGACTTGCCGAAGAAGTTCGTGCGGCAGTGGGGGCACCAGGAGATATGGATCTCCTTTTCACGGGCCATTCTGCTGGTGGTGGGATGGCACAGCTGTTCTATGCCATGGCAGCCTCAAAGTCATCGAGTCGTACCATCGCAACCGTAGTACCTAGTGAGCCTCTGATTACCCTCAGTTCCTGCAAATCTCTCGCAAAGCACCTTGCTAACATTTCAAACTCTATGAACAGATTTCCGACGGGTTCATTGCATTGTATTTGGCACCCCACCGATCGCTACTATCCCCATCCGCCCGCCAAGCCGCGACCCATTCCAGTCAGGAATATTCCTGAGCATAATAAATGAAGGAGACCCCGTTCCACTGCTCCAGCAGGACTACTTGTCCGCCCTGATAGAGGTCTTCGTCCGAAGCCCAAGAGAGCTGAAAGCGAGGTACCCGGATGGGTTCAAAGTTCCAGACCCCGTCGTACGCATCAGCGGACCTTGTGTTGTTCTCCGCGATACTGACCCTACTAATGTTGAGTCATGTGTATTCGATGCTGTCAAGATACCGGAAGCGATGCTTGAACGCAAATTGTTCGGGAATGTGAGCGCACACAACAAAGATGACTACTTGAAGAGATGTCGGAACCTGAGGAGCATAGCGTTTTCTCAGGACCACGTGCGTTCTTATATCCTGGGAGGCGGGGAGGGTGGAAAGGGTGGTTTGACAGGAGTACGACAGGTACACCGTGGGGTTCCCAAAAACGAATTCAACAGTTGGGCAAATCAGCTTTCCAATTGAAGAATTTGACTCAAGGTTTTCATCCTTTCCGCAATTCCGAAGACACAAGCTTGTGACACCAACATGTGTCATGCCCTCTTCCTCCTCTGCAACTCCCAGCCTTCAAGCCCCTCGAAGCTACATGTGGGTTTAGGTATTCTGTTGAAGGTGATCGGCACATCCTTGTCTGTTGTACGAGCTTGATTATAATGCCGCTGCCTCACGAGCCCCCAGGTCGTGCGAAAACGGCTACATAACCATGGTGACGACGTTGTACACGATCCATTCATTTGCGAGATTGACTCCAAATCTAGTCCTAGCCTTGGCGCCACAGGAAGGTGTGTGGCGTGTGTCCTTATCTCTCGGTATCTCTCCAGTCCCGGTAGCCATAAGAAGACTTAGCGATCTGGTTTCCGCGGGCGCTCTTCATTGCCCGGTCTCAATGATCATGCTAGGACAAGTGAAGTAGAACTTCTAGAGTCCTGAAGTAAATAGGAACTATTCAACTCTCGCCGCTATCTCACTAGATGGGAGAATTAGGTATCCATGGGATTCCTTAACCTGCTGGAAGGAGCCATGTAAGAGCTACAATAGCGCTAGTGAGACCAGTGCTTTTAGCACTTTCCGGTCTATGGGTTCGATTGTAGTTGCCGTTGAACATGTTGCACGGGTTGAGCGCGTACAGTTGGTCGTGTGTTGTAAGCAATTCATACTGCTCATGCCAAGGGGTTGAAGCAAGCACCGGACAAAACCGGAAACTTGTGCAGGAGTCTAATTTCTGAAATTACTCTGTAATCTAAGGCCCTGGACGCCGCCTCCTCATCTTTCGAATAAACTCTCATAACTGTTTTTGCTATTATGTTTACGATAATATTACTGGTGTATAGTAATAACGATGATACAGGTATCCAACTAGGGTTTTTAGTAAATTCTGTAAGCAAGCCTGAGCATTTTTGAGAATATTTATTGATCTCATAATACAATATAAATATAATAAGACATCTAGAAGAGAGCAGAATCTTTCGAGCACTAGATTCAGTCATTAATTGTGTTTGAGATAACTAGAAGTTTCTCGTTAAATACCATCGAGTATTAAAATTGGTAAGAAAAATATAGAGTTTGATAGGATTCCTAATAACAATGATTTTCAATGAAATATAATATGTCCAACTAGTTTTTAAACCCATTACACTTATAATCGATCAGATATATAATTGATCAAGTGGCTCGAGGGATATGCCAGAAGGAGGAAACAGAGACTGAGAGAGAATCATGAAGTGGCTTCAGGTCTCGTGACAACCGCCATTCACATCTTGCTGCTATCAAGCGCTAAGATTACCATAATGATAAGTGACTATATCGTGGTCATCATGTAACCATCCAGGTTCTACAATGCACCCAAGATGTTACCCCGGCCAAAGTGTGGGTCATCAGATTAGCCAAGTTTGACCCACTGGCACAGCCACCAGGCTGGCGCGGCCCCTCCAGGCTCCAGGGTTGCCTGAGATGTTCCCTCGAGACATTTTCCCATCCAAACCAGCTCCATGTTCAACTGGATGGCAGTGGCACAGAACAATCCCGCATCAATGGCAATCAGCAGGCTGGACCAGCGTAAGGCCTCGCGTCGGTCACACCAGAAGTCGCGGTCAGGCTGCCGCAACTGCAAAAGACGACACATTAAGGTTTTCCGCCCCACCTCCCGATCCTGTATGCTTATCTGAAGAAGCGCAATGTTAACGGCCAATTCAGTGCGATGAATTACGACCACAATGCTCTAATTGCAAGAACCACTCAGTCAATTGTGATTACTCTGCTTCAACCGGGCTAGACAGGCAACCGCTGTCAGCAAGAGCCTCCCAGTCTACATTACCAGCAAAGCCGGACCGCCTCATCAACTGGATCTTCGTCCCATCTCTCTATCAAAGCCCACCGAAAACCCCAAGTCCTGACTCTATTGCCAGATCAGTTACCCCAACTTCAACTAGCGCTCAATATTCCCCGTCTTCATCATCCAGTCGGTCAACTCCCTCGCCATCCTCTTTCCAACCCATCCCCGCCCCTACAACATTTGACTTTCATGACTTCACCCTTCACCACCACTACCTAACCTCAACCTGTTACACACTCGCCGAAGATGACGGCAGCCTTCACTTCTGGCGTGATGAAGCTCCCAAAATGGCAATCTCGCATCCCTTCATCCTACATCTGATCCTGGCGCTAGCTGGGCTGCACAAGGCCAAGGTCGACACAGTCGACACCGACAACACATTTCCGAATCCCGGAGCAAATGATTCCTGGCTAGTAAACAGAGCAGAGCATCACTCTGCAAAAGGGCTAAGTGAACTATTGTCTCTTCTCGCTCATGTTAGCCCCAACAACATTGCGGCAGTGTGGGCGGGGGCCACCATTTTGTGTTTTCTGCCTATGGCTCGGGGTCCGCGACCGGGTGACTATCTGTTCTTTTCGATTGGCACTGATCATGAAAGCATGGTACAGTGGCCTTCTTTGGTGAAAGGAGTGAAAACACTTTCTGGAATGTCTGGTGATATCAAGCCTCGGGGGGACAAAAGTGGCTCATCTCGAGTTGATCAAGGAGGCATGGCGTCAGAAATAAATTACCGGGGATTGTTACAGGCCTTGAGGGAGCGGATTCCTCTGCATGGCCAACAGCGCGGAGAACTGAATGCCCGGGAACTGAGCGACTGTTATATTAATGCCATTGCTATGTTGGAGCGCGTGCTCGATGACAGGCATGGGGAAAAGCAAGATTGGGGAGAGAATAATACTGGCAGGTTGGCGATGATTATATATGATTGGATTTGTTGCTTCGAACCTGCACTGGATGCCTTTCAGAACAAAGACCCGGTAGCATTGATACTGCTGGCTTACTTTCTCGTGCTTATGAAATTACATGACGGAGTGTGGTATGCTCGGGGCTGGGCGGAGCATATCATGGGGGGTATTGAGGAATGCTTGGGTCAAGATGATCGTCGGTGGCTACAATGGCCGATGAAGCAGATTGGAATGCGCAAGGATGCAGGTAGTACATTCTATGCAGCGGAAGAAGAATAATGATATAAATCAGCCACCCCCAAATTAAGCATTGAATCAATTTGTTTCCAACACGAAAACCTCCCAATATTGGGTCCTTTCATAAAAGACGCCAGACCTAATCATCACGGCATCAATTATACCGAGATCCGTTGTTCGCCGAATCATGCTCCGTTCCCAGCAATCCTAACTTATCTCCACAACTGTCTACCTCCAAGTCCTCCAAGACTAGTGTCTGCTCACTAACCATAGGTACCGAGTTCGCCCGCATTTCAATTTTCCGCAGCAGTTGCCCCGGATGGAACAGATTGAAAATAATAACAGCCGGCACCATCATCGCCCCATCCAACCCAATTAACAATTTCTCATTCCGCATCGTTGAGCTCGTCCAGCCATGTAGCAGTTCGATGGTCCGATAGATACTTCGGATATATATCAACAAAACCGAGAAAACCATGGCCGAGAATAAAGCGATCACTACAGGCATGTGCGCATTACCCCGGCGGCAGGGCACTTCGCGGCAGAACACGCGCCAAGCAAAATCAGCTCCAAGTGCAACGAAGACTGTTATAGCCACAAGTTGGAAGATGATGCCGCCGACCATGATATGTGTTCCGGTTGACTGGGACGAGGAGGAGGAGGAGTCTCTGGCGCTCACCGAGCTGGTACTGGAGCTCGAACCCCCACCGCCAGCTCCTGATGAAGCCATTCCACCGCCTGCTGCCTGGACGACTAACGAGATGATGTCGCAGGTGCAAAATATCCAGAGGTAGAGCTTAGGAGAAAGGATGGACGATTGGGGGCCAAATATGCGGATGAAGCGGGCTAGCAGGACGTAGATTCCTGCGGTGAAGAATGTTGGTGCTGTCGACGGATGTTAGATTTGTACCAGTACCTGAAATGGGGTATCGCACCTATGATAAGGGTGGTAATTTGCATGAGATATGGTGTCTGAGCATAGGGACATTTAGCAGACCAGATTCGGGCTGCCCAACCGAGAATTTCGACTGCGTTTCAGTTAGCATAAATAGAACAGGCTTTGTGATTGTCGAAAGACCTAAGCATCCTAGTGAAAACACGGAGCACCACCAAGTTCGAAACCACACCATTTGGATGGCATGGCCTAGCATCGAAGCGCCGAAGAGGACTACAAAGGTAGAGGCTGCGGCGAGCGAGGGCACATAGCCGTATGAAGTAGAGACGCCATCAACATAGGCATGGCATGTGTCGCTGCCGTATGTCTGTGTTTCTGAACTCCCATGGCCTGATGCACTCATTATTGTAGGAGAGGAGGCGACAAGTTAACGTAACTTAGTAGTTCAATTGGAGTTGGTTCGTAAAGCTAAGCGAGCTGCATAATTCAGTGATGAACACTGGCGATTCTTATAAAGAAGTCAATCATAGTATTCGAATGGACGCTATATCACACAATATTTATACGGAAATCCAATATTTCTTCTCTTCACTCCTTTCGCGTTATGCTGGGATATGGCTGCTAACACTTAGTCACAGCTTACGACTTATCTCCCTTTCGAAACATGGTAGATGCTTCCCCTATGGTATGAAAATATATTCCTTGAAGAATCTGATGGTCAATATCTTCAGTTCGTGGCGTATCCGTGATAGCTGTCTCAAAAAGGCAAGTCTTTTCCCTAATCGGTCCATCGTATTCGTGAAGTATCACACTAACCCTAATCTGGACCGCGCCGGTGGCTCGGCTGCCGATCCCTTGGCACGGGGCGGCCTAATGCCTCCCGCATTTTCGAAACCTTGTCCCGAATAATAACATCTTATTTCGATCAATCACAGTATTCTGATGCCTTAGCAGTGGAGCTCGTTCCAACTCTTGTTTGCCAAATTGCCAAGATCCAAACACCGCATCATCCTCCTATCAGCTATCACTCATAACAAAACAGAATATGACCGCCTGAATCCTACGCATGCTGTCATCTTCCCACGGGACGTTATTTAGGCAGCAGACTGTGACAGTTTTAGACATGTAGGTATGTAGGAATGCAACCCTGCTGCTATTGTGGTGTTGACAGCCATTGAGCATGCTGCAGCACTGCTCGGGGCGAGTGATTACATCACAGCAAGTTCTTGGCATCAGGCGTCCCAGCTCGTTGTCCACGGGTACAGCGGGTTTGGCTCTGCGTAGCATTCCAAAGCTGCCAGTGTAGCCAATCATCGTACACTTGATGCATCGCAACGCGCCGTGCTCGTATACTTCCAGTCCAAGATGGCTAGCGACTTGCCTATCCAGGGCTGTCATCGTGCCCCTAACCAGATCGGAGCCATCTGAAACTTGCTCCATCTTCACGCATGACTGGCTTACAACTGCTACTCCACAATCATAAAAATAGCGCTGGCGCCATTTCTTCAAGGTGACGACGGCAAGTAATATACCTGCATTTGTAATCTACTAACAGCTCGGCCCTAGGCCTACATCCAGATATAAATTCCTCCAAATCCACATCATGTAAACAATCCTCCAGAATTCAGAATCGAATCAGCTCTGCTATCACTACCACTACCTCCATAATGAAGATAACCCCCCTACTATTCCTCGCCGCGGGCCTTGCCCAAACCCATGCATTCCCATCACAAGGAGGAGCACCGCACCCACTACCCTGGTCCCCTCCAGGCCCAAACGATGGTAAGCAGTCCTGTCTAATCCACGTTTTTTCCATATTTCAAGCCATCGTTAACATGAAATAATAGTCCGCGCCCCCTGCCCAATGCTCAACACCCTCGCCAACCACGGTTATCTCCCCCACAACGGCAAGGACATCACTGAGCAACACACCATCAACGCCCTCTACAACGCCCTCGGCATCGATGCAGAACTCGCCACATACCTCCACCAGGAAGCAGTCACCACCAACCCAGCCCCAAACGCTACTACTTTCTCCCTCAATGATCTGAGTCGTCATGACATCCTTGAACATGATGCTAGTTTGAGGTATGGTTTTTTTCTCTCTCTCCCCCTTTACAGCACCGTATACACTCATCTCACCACGTATTCTTTGATAGTCGTCAGGATGCCTTCTTCGGCGACAACCACGACTTCAACCAAACCATCTTCGACGAGACCCGCTCATACTGGACCTCTCCCATCATCGACGTGAAGCAGGCTGCTCTGTCCCGCCAAGCACGCGTGAACACTTCCATGGCTACCAATCCGAATTATACCATGTCCGAGCTGGGTGCGTCGTTTAGCTATGGGGAGACAGCGGCGTATATCATTGTTCTTGGGGATAAGGAGAATGGTTTGGTGAATCGGTCGAGGGTGGAGTATCTTTTTGGTAGGTTTAGTTCTGTTGGAGTTGTAGTGGTGGTGTGCTTTGCTGACTGATGGTCTGCAGAGAATGAACGTCTTCCGCTGGATCTTGGGTGGACTCGTGCGAAGGAGAATATCACGTTTGATGATTTGAGTACGATGTTGAATAGGATTGTTAATGCCACGGGTGGGGAGAGCGAGTTTGACAGGGAGTTGGCGAAGAGGGGTGGGGTGCACGTTGGGAAGTGGAGAGAGTAGATGGGCTTTGTTCGAAGTGGGTGGATTCAGAGTGGGTTAGATGTTCACTACAGGAAGTGTATATCGGTCTGATTAATAGGTGGGTATAAAGAGGGCTTTGAGTTGTGACATATCTTGCTGTTATGATTGGCATATACGAGTTGCGTCTGTATGAAGAGTCTTGGCCGTAACATCTCAAATCCGGACAAGTTATTATCATCATCGTTTGCTGCTTTGAGAAATATTTCTAGTCCTAGTTGGACGGTCATTGATGTTCTCACCTCATACTCGCGCGGTAGCCATGATTATCACAGCTCACGCCATCCTTTTAAACCAGATCTTCTCCCCCAAAACGGACTCCAAATCCAACCCCAAGCTCTTCGCTACTCCCTGCTCGTCAACATAAAACTCGGCCTTCGTATAGTCTGGTCCCACAGCCTCGGCCTCAGGATTATAGGACTTGACGACGAAGAATTCTCCACTGACATGCTCAAACCGCATACAACAGCTCCCCACACGGTCTCTCAAATCAACAACCAACTTGCCACTCTTCTCACACACCTTAATCACTCCGTATCCAGGATGCGCATATGTCCCTGTATATGCTCCCAGCGACAACGAAAGTGGTAGCCTCGTTTTCAGGTCCGGATACAACCGTGCTACCACACTTTCGACACTCTCGTTGTACATCCGTTCCATCTCCTTAAGCTTCTCCCCTAGCTTCCTCACATGGGTCTCTCTTTCGGCTCCGCTCTTCCCCAGCAGCTGATCGATGAGGTACAAGAACAAATCCAACTCTGCAATCCTCGCGTTCTGTGTATTCCCCATCATAGCAAAGGCAAAGCCCTTCGCAGGCAAAAATCCAACCATTATCCCAAATCCAGCCCAGCTGCCCGTGTGCCAGTATAATTGTTCTCCATGGTAGTAGTCTATAAACCACCCCATGGTATAGAGATGGTATGCACCGGGCGGAGCGAGCATATTTTTCCAATCAGACTCAGCAATGACTGCCCTGGGTATACGAAGTGCTGTGTGCCCCTCTTTCGAGATAGGCGGTGCCTGGTAAAGCATAGCGCGCAGCCACTTTGCGTAATCCATCACGTTAGAAACCATTGAACCAGTTCCGGTGATCGGAGCATAGTTGATATATTGCTCTTCGTAATAGGTGTGTGTGTCTGGATTCCAGGTGTAGCCCTTCACTAGTCTCCTTGCCAAGTTCGCGTGCTTTTGCACATCGGCAGTGGAGAAGTATGTATCGTTCATGTCAAGTGGGTCCCAGATTCTTCTTACGAGTGTCGTTCCGAGGCTCTCCCCGTTTATGTGTTCCAACAAATATGTCGCAGCCATGAACATATGATTGTTGTAGTTGAATGTGGTCCGTGGCGGAAAGGCCAGTGGTAGCCATCGAAGCCTGCGGACCTCGGTGCGCAAATTCTCATCCGGATGAGCGAGGTTGATGGAAAAGAAGTGGCCAGGGAGCCCACTGCGATGCGATAAGATGTCTTCAATTGTAGTGTTGGTGGTGGCAGAAGGAGTAGAAAGAACAAAGTCGTCACGGATGATGGAAGAGACGGGCGTAGACCAGGAGATTGGTTGCGGAGTGGACTGGCTGTCGTCGATCGCTAAAGACATTGCGGCGGCGGTGAAGGCTTTGGTTGTGCTGCAGGTTGTGAAGAGAGAGGTGGTGGTCATGGGTGTGGAGGGAAAGGAGGCGTAGCCGTAGGCCTGAGTTCATTGTTAGTGTAGTTCTTAGGTCAATGGCAATGTGGATGGTGGTGGTACCTTTGCGTAGGTGCTGGAACCGTGCACAACCGATACGGTCAGGCCTGGAATGTGCCATTCTTCAAGCAATTTGTCGACGAGAGCGTCGAATTCTGGAGTGAGTGGATTTCTTTCCTGGCGGAGAACCATTGCGCTGGAGTCTGCTTGGATCTGGGTTAAAGAAAATGAGAGATGGGATGTGGGAGGAAGTGAGATGAGCGAAGATGCAGAGAGTGAGGAGTCAAGTTGCACCGGGGTCCGTGGGTAGCCCGGCGTAGCTGCCTAGCACTAATTCCCGCAGATAAGCCCCGAACGGCCGCAGAAAACCAATACTAGTCTGCATCAATACTTGCTTTTGCCGCAGCATGCATAGGAGCCTCCTTGATCAGAATCTCCAGTTATCCCAGCTAGATCATTGGTTCCCAATAGTGTTACTGGTATTTCCCGAGCATCAGAGAGTGAAAGCTATTATGATCTGAACATAGCAATCATTTATGTAGACTTTGTGAATTATACTACATGCTCTGACTCAATTAAAATGACCACCTATCGAGTAAAGCTTTCATGCAGGCTGCTCCTGTCGCTGCAGCATACGGTTGCCATACTTTATTCTTATGGCTGTCGGCATAGTCACAAACACCCTTCACCACTAGACAAGGCAGGCTCTCCCAGACCCCTGCACCCTCCATTTCGAACGCTATCACATTATGACGCTCAGCGATGAGGTCTCTGTCTTGTCCAGACTTCATGACAGTATCGCCCGACGCAATGAACCCTAGGTGAATTGCCGGAGAAGGAGGATCCCCCTGTGTAAGTGCAGCCTGGAGCCGCATCCGTTTCACAAGGTTTTCTTCCCCGCATCCCAATTCATGACACGATAGATCAAACACCTCGCCGCATACCGTAGTATTGGTCGAGTCTGCGCAGCTGATGCAAGTAGTGCTGCCACGGTGTTTATGCTGATAGCTTGGCTCGTACAGTTTATCTTGTTCAACTCCCGGATATCGAGCAGTGTTATTGCCAGGCTTTTCATTTATAGCTCCCATATATTCCGTCATTTTGTTCGAAACATGCTGTTGTTCTATGGTCGTCTTTAACTTCGAAAGGAAACCTCTTATATTGACGTTGGGCCGCCCCAGCCCATCGGCAACCGATGCTTTAGGCAGAAATGCCCCAGGAATCCTTCGCCCGAAATCATGCTGGATAATCCCATCACTGACTACTATATCTCCGAGGAGGATTTCTTTGTTCCCCTCCTTATATGGGACGCCGCCACAGATTCCGACCACCAGGGCGAGCTTGATGTTCGGATAGGTTGACCGTATTGAAGAGGATGCTTGAGACGCAACACTCTTTCCCATACCCGGAAGATGTACCAATGCGGTGTTATGGCGACCCATTCGACCGAGTGTGTACGTGTTCGAGTCTCCCGGTGAATTCCCATACAGGCTGAAGTCTTCAAATCTTTCATCAAACAGAGCACTGACAGCATTAGCCTCTAGCGGCAAAGCACAGAATATTGCGACCGTGAAATCTGCTTTATGGGGGAATTGTGAGGCAATTGAAGTCTCTGGAATAACATGGTGAGCGACTGTGTCGAGCGTTTTCGCGGTAGGAGCGCTCTGGATACCCCAGTCATCTTGATAGGCTTCAAACAATCTCTTCAATGGGGAAACAACTTTCTCGTATAAAACGTTCTGTCGGGCCGTTATCTGCTCTGTATACCCGTACTGTTGTATGGAGTCGCCACCAAATAGCTCAGGGTTGAGACAGTTGTTAACAGCCTCCTCGTACATAGAATGCACCATGTCCTTCAAATTGCTTCTGTGCGCCGTTGTCCACGCCCACGTATAGTAGTCGTTAACCGCAGTTTCGCTGAAGGGGTGAGGGCATTCTTCACTTGTCAAGGGCTGCTTGATGGCAATTTCGATAAGAAGAACCCCTAATGCTAGAATGTATGGATATTGGTGCATGAGGTTATCGGCATTATAGCAGTCCGTAGAAGTAACCACCGCTCGGGCCATGTTTGCTGTCAGATATGGATGTGGCTTTCCATGACCTGCCAGGCCAGTTTTCTCAGTTAGCAATTGAATGCTCCCGTGAGTCCAGGGCGCCATCATCCACGCTGAACTGTAATACTGCCAGACGGACTTGGCAATGGTATAGGCTAGATGAGACTTTCCCTTGTTCGAAAGATGAGGTATTTGTTCGAGCCATTGCCCTAGTGAACGTCCTTCGATAGGAAGAATGCCATGGGAGGACTTAGGATCAGGTGATTCGATCACTTGCAGCACGTTTGATTGAATGCAAAACTGAACAGGCTTGCCAAGGCGATTGTCGATCAACTTGCAGAATTCCCCCCGCTCTAGCCGTCTCGATCTCTGGGATAAGAGCGAGCTATTGCGTTTCGATGATAATAAATTACCATATGTGGATGCGAACCCAACCTTCTTGTTCTTCTGGACATTAGTCTGTCTGCGCAACTCCGTCTCGGCCGTTAGTTGTGTTTACTGTCAACCGAGCCTTTTGTCTCACCTTGGGACTTTCACAATCGACGCCTTCCACGGCACGAATGATGAAGTGTTCGTAGGTGGAAAAGGCTTGGCCTTGAAGGCGAGCTCAAAGGAAATATCATCGTCACCGATTTGATTGTCAGTACTCAGTCGCAGTCGAGTCGATTCCAAGTGAACAGTGGGGCAGCCACATTTAGCATAGGTTTGTAACTGAGTGTAGAGGACTTGGTTCAGGTACCCTGAGTATCCGATGTCGCTATCGTCCTGATATTCCTCCGTATATAGCGGCTCCGTCTCGTCCACCGTGAAACAGTCCGAAATCAATTGTAAGAGAGCATTGTATTCCGGGCTATGTCGGACAAAATGCGTCAGGCTTTCCTGGGTCTCTCTGATTACAGTCTGTCTAATATTGCTCGTTGAGTCTTTATAAATTAGGATTCTGCACAGAGCCTGAAAGCGACCTGCCACATTCCGCGACGTCTGAGTAGTGGGTTAGTGCGCAACGTAAGGGTTTCGCGTATGAGAAAAACCCACTGAGCACGCTTTATCGATAATCTCGAATATTTTCAACAATCTTTGTCGCGCAGGGGCTGTCTGACTGATAGCTGGGATCTGCTGAGATAAAACAAACAGCTCGCATCCCAACGTACCGTAAGCGGTATCGCGCGTCTGTTGCCCTATAAGAATAACTTGGCTGCTGACCCACGGCAGAACCTGACAGCCCAAGTCCAATACATCATCCTCGTCCATGAGGCATGATAGAACTGTATTGGTGCGACATAAGAGCGAGGATGTTTTGTTGAAACAGTCAGCGGGTGCGGGGTAATTAGCCAGCACGTGTCGAGCTAAGCCCGAATAGAGAAAGCAGAGCCATCAGTGGTGTTGGTCGAAACCCCCCATTTCATAGTCACCAAGTTATGGCAGACCAGCCTTCCATCTATGAGGCCACCCTGGCCTGTTACCAGGTCCTTCGAGGCTCGGCTGCTGTTCCTGCTCTCCAAGAATGGGCAGAGAACTGTTCAGCCGACTTGAAGCTGTGGGCAAATGGAGCCGGGGCCTTGAAAGTCGGAAAGGCATCCCTTGATGCTAGGCTGACCTCGAATCCGGATGCAAGGGTTTTCGTGGTAAATCTATTAGGGATGCTGCAAGCCTTTATAGAGCGGTGCGTTGAGACAGGTATAGCCAAAACACCCCTTTGAGCAGAAAGGATCGGGAGTGACTTCTTACTAGGAGCGGACGGGCACGGCGATGGGTTGGATCAAGCCATGCAGGATGTAAAATCCATCATAGGCCAATTGAGTCGAATCATGACTTCCATTCGCAAGGCTGGCATCAATGCACGAATTCAAAAGGCCGATGCTTCTTACGACCCTGGCCATCCGCAGGTCGAGGCTTTGAAAAGCCATTTGCAGCTGCTGTTACTGTCAAGACCCAGATATTATGGCACTCTACAGGCAGAGACTTCTTCGCACGGAGTGTTATTAGTCTCGTCCATAGATGGCACTATCGTGTCTGAGCCGCGGTCTTTGACTGTTATCCAGCGACGACTCATTGAGGCAAACCTGAAGCGGAGAAACCGATTCTTGTATGCTCAGCGTCACGCAATCAAGCTGTCCGACAGGGAACCCCCCCCAGCAAAGTCGATACCCACTTCTCGAAAAACACCACAGCCACTCATTCTCAATCCCAACGCAAGGTCAACGGACGAGCCTAAACTTCCCACAGTGTATAGCACAACGACCGCAACCGAAGTACAAGATCCAATCCCGTTTCCGACCCGAGATAGTGCCCAACCAGCGACTACTATCATATCTGCAATCAGCTCTCGTGTGACGTATCCCAAGCCTCCCCAACTGAGACCCGATCAAAATGTCTTCCAATGTCCGTGCTGTTGCCAGACATTACCAGCTTTCATGAGCAAAGGGAGTCAGTGGAAGTATGTATTGATTCCATGAGCATCACGATGAATGAATGCTAATCATATGGCCATCCAGAAAACATCTCTCCAGAGATATTCTTCCATACACATGTATTCTCGAAGAATGTCCTCGCCCCGAAAGAAATTACCATACAAAGGATCTTTGGCTGTCGCACATGTCCACAGACCATGGCGGCTTTCCCCATTGGGTTTGCCTCGCCTGCAATGAGTCGAGCGAGCGACCAACGTTTTACGAAGAATCGGCATTCACTAAACACTTAGATGAAACGCACTCAACGGGTATCAAGCCCCACCAAATACAGATGTTGGTCTCTGCCTGGCGTCGGAAAACACCAGTCACAGTTGGATCATGTCCGCTCTGTGGGCTGACAGACCTGGATGTCGAGGCCGTTTTGAACCATGTTGCCGAGCACCTGCATTCATTTTCGCTCAAATCTTTACCATGGGCGCCAGGAGACTCTGAGTCTAATTGGGACTCATATGGAGGCTATTATGAAGATCATCCTTATTTTGATACAGCAAGATCCGAAGATACACGAAGATCGGAAGACACTGGAAGTGTGGGATCAGGATCTATTGATCCTTTTGACCCACTGGACTATCTGCCTATTAAGGAATACGACGAGGAGCCAACGGAAAACAACCAATTGACAGAAGAACGAATTCACTGTCTTTCGGAGGATCCGGGTACTAACCAGGATATGATGGGTGTGTTTTTAGCTAGCATCGAGAACGAAGATCCTGTAACGGCACCCTTTCAAACGCCACCATCGCCAGCTAGCCCTGATAGCGATCTATCTGTGGACGTGGAAGAAGTAGGCCGGGTCTCTGAATCCCATCATCTTCCATCATTATCACTCACAGTACCTACGGATTCTGATGATGATGACTCTCCGGCCGTTCGACCGCCACTGCCAGCCCCATCTGACAGCGAACCCTCCACAGATGGAGAGGATGAACACCAAGATTCTGCATCGCATAACCCTCCGTCATCATCACCAGCCGAATCCGGTTCATATTCTAATAATGAGTCTGCACCTCCAGGCTTCCAGTCATCATCAGTGGCCGAGGAATGGCACCTGTCACACGATCTGTCACGATTTATTGATTTCGATGCAACTCCGCCCCACAGAGCTCAGAAGGCTGAAGCTGCCATTAACGCCGGAGCAGTAGCTACTGGATTCTTTTCATTTTCTGAGATGGTTCTTAGCCAACCCAGTCTCCCACAGGATATTTCTTCCGCCGGCGAATTACCGAGTACCAGTATTGTCCTTTATGATAGACATCATTTTCACGATTCCTTGGACACGCTTTATCTGCTGTGTTCTAACTGGGTTTCCGATTTTTCGGAACCCTTCAGCAATGTGTTATGTCGCTCACTCGATAACCTGCACCCCGCAAATAATCGTGATCGATTCCGCGATGCCATACTAAATGGATCCGACGTTGATGCGCTTCTTGCTGACCCTATTCACCGGCGACATATCTTCATGTCCGTCACGACGACTATGATCTGGGAATTCATATTCACGCGGTATCTATTCGGCTTGGAATGGTCAATACGCTCAGGAATCAAGCGGTTAGAGAAGGAATTAGGGCAGACTCTGCCACAGGAAGTAGTCCATCGCTGGCGAGCCACGACGTTGAATTCATTATCCCAGGATACCGAGTTGAAACAGCAGCAAGAGCGTGATATTCAAGCTGTTTCACTTACTATTATCGATACACTGATGTCTATACTATCGGAAAGGAGTCCTTATAAGCCTCGACTGCGCGAGGAGCTCGACGATGTATTACGCCTTGCTGTGAAACTCTCTGTTGAAATGCGTACGCAATTGGCAGAATACATTATGCTACCCCCTCTTCAGCCAGAGTATGACAGCCAAGGCAACTTGACAAGTCAGATCTTCTTCAACGCCTCGTTGATGCATGAGGAGAGTGGCGTGTATGCATCAAATGAACAGGCACAAAGTGAACAGGCTGTTGTTCACTTAGTCCTTTTCCCTTTGGTAGTGAGAAAGGGCGATGACGATGGCAAAGGAGACGAAGAGGTGGTTGTTTATCCAGCTCAGGTCGTGGTATCAGATATATTAGATCGTGGTAGACCTCACCCGTCGCCCTCTCATGACACAGGAGATGTTTCTGCTGCAAACGACGAGGCGGATTATGATTCGGACAGGACTTCGGCAGGTAGCGCTCCAAGTCAAGTGTCGGTCGATGTTAGAGGAGTGCCACTTTAGTTGCTGCTTTAGCTAATAATGAAGCCAACATGTGCGCACAAAGCACTTCTTACTTCTACAAACACGAAGTTTTGTATCACCCTCGAAGTAGTCGTTCCTTGGCTATATTTTTATAGTAGCAGACATCTCATCTTAAGCCTTCATGGAGATCTTTCCTTTCTTTTTTTTTTTTTTTTTTTTTTTTTTTTTTTTTTTTTTTTTTTTTTTTTTTTTTTTTTTTTTTTTTTTTTTTTTTTATTTCTCTTCTTCTTTCTTTTCTTTCTTTACTTCTTTTTTCCCTTCTATTGGAATTGTACCCTACAGAAGTCACTATTTACTAGATTCCTTAACCAATCAAGTCTCATTTCTGGACGATACGATTCCTGCCTTTCCACATACATGACTTTGTCACAATGGCGTCGTATCAGTCTTGTTTCAACTCACGACGAGATCATGCGGGAGCAGGAGCACTCCAAATTTAACTCTGAGTATTCGAAACATTTCTATTCGTCAATGATAGTATAACAATCATACAATTCCATAAGCTAATACCCATACATGCTCATATAAACGTCATGAGACATCAACCCCCTCATGCAGATACAGCTCCCCATCCACCTCCACCAGCAGTATTGATTACAATGCGATCGTGCGTCTTCATAGACACAGTGTTCTTTCCTCCGATATTGACCACGCGCTCCACGCCCGTATCCACATCTTTTGTGACCCAAAGGTTCATTCCAGGCTGTGCATCCTCGCCGCCCTCGAGTCCGTATGGGCGGTATACACGCCTCTCAGAAAGAATAGACACTTCCATGGGCGACAGGAACTCGATATCGCGAACCACACCGTCACCACCAGGGTTCTTTCCCTTGCCGCCGGATCCCTCCCGAAGGGTGAACTGTCGGAGCAGTGTTGGGTAGCGCTTCTCTAGAATCTCCGGGTCGGTGATACGCGTGTTGGTCATGTGTACGTGGATACCGGACTCTCCGCTCCAAGTGGGACCGGCACCGCTGCCTCCGGCGATGGTCTCGTAGTAGCCGAAGCCAGGGATAGTCTCGCCGGTTTCGGGGTCGCGCTTGGAGTTGGTGCCGAAGGTCAGGTTGTTACAGCATCCTTGGGAAGCGGCACAAGCGCGGAAGGCTTTGAGCACAACGTCGGTGATGCGTTGAGAAGTTACCACGTTTCCGCCGACCACAGCGGCAGACTTGGTGGGGGACAGGATACTAGGCGAGGGGACCTGGATGTCGATAGGTGCCAGACATCCCTGGTTGAGGGGCATGTCTGCGTTGATCATGCAGCGCAAGCAGTAGATGATGGCCGAGTGGGTGATTGCGATGGGTGCGTTCCACCCGCCGTATACCTCAGGGCCAGTACCGTCAAAGTCGAATAGCGCGGAACCATCCTCGCCGTTGATAGTGACCTCGAGCTTGATGGGTGTGCCGTCATCCATGTAGTCGACTGCCTCCAACGGTTGACCGCCGAATTTCTTGTGCAGATCCTTGAGAAGGTTGCGAACGGCTGTCTCGGCTGTGGCTTGGATGGCATACATGTACTTCTGCACCGTCTCAACGCCGTATTCGGCGAACAAGGCTTGGATCAGTGAGATACCGCGGGTGTTTGCTGCAATTTGTGCTTTCAGGTCAGACAGGTTATCGCTGACGCATCTAGCTCCGGAGCAGCCTGGGTACTGAGCCGGCTTGTGGACCAAGAGCTCCATCATACGCTCCTCGTCAAAGACGCCATTGCTGACAATTTTGTCTCCCTCAATTGCAGCACCCTCCTGCCAGAGTTCAGTAGACTTTGGTGGCATTGAGCCTGGGAGGATGCCACCAATGTCTGCGTGGTGGCCACGGGAAGCCACGTAGAACATGATCTCGGTGCCACCCGGTCGGTCGAACACGGGTGTAATGACCTATCGCTGTTAGCTGTGTAGTCGATTGGAGAGCGGATGGTAGACTTACAGTGATATCAGGCAAGTGTGTACCACCACTGCTAGGGTGGTTTGCCACTAATACATCACCGTCACGCAGATCACCGAGCCACTTCTGGTGCTGGTAGCGGACCGCAAATTGCATGGAGCCAAGATGCACCGGAACATGCGGCGCGTTGGCAACAAGACCTCCATCGGGGGAGAAGAGAGCACAAGAGAAGTCAAGACGCTCCTTGATGTTTGTAGATACGGATGTTTTCTGGAGCGTACGCCCCATCTGTTCGGCGATTGACATGAACCGATGGCCGAAAATACTAAGCCGGATCGGGTCAATACCTGAGGATCCACCCTCAACACCATTGACATGAGGGAGCTCCTCGAGGTCGATGACTATGCAAGTTTCCAGAATACTAGCGACGGCATTCGGGGCCACCACGACTGTTTGTGTTTCGTCAATGATGACGGCAGGGCCATGCACCCGAGTATTCTTCTCGAGCTTGTTCAATAGATACACAGGAGTATCGATCCGCTCAGAGTAACCGTCAAAGTATGCTTTCGAGGTGTTGTCCGGACCTCCACTGACATCCTTCAGGGTAGCCTCCCTCAGCTGTACGAGGGGGCTCTTTTCCGTCCGAACCTTTGAAGAGGCAATTGTGCGAACACGAATATCGTCAACTAGAACCGATCTGTCAGAGTTGAATCCGAATTCTCTGCGGTGTCTGGCACGGAACTGCTCGAGGAAATCGGAGTCATCCTCAGGCTTCAGGATCATCAGGCTGGTATCTGAACCCTCGTAGCGCAGGTTAAGATACAAATCGTGGCGAACTTGGTCGGCCGAAAAGCCTTGCTCTTGCATATCTTCAGTAGACGCCTTGATCATGTCCTCGAAGCGCTTGTCAAGTGTCGACTGGGAGGTCGAGTACTCCGTAGAGACCGGCTCTTGCGATTCCTTAACCACCTCAGCCAGCGCCAAGCCATACGCCGAAAGGACAGATGAGAACTTGTGAATGATAACGCGGGAAATTCCCAAGGACGCCGCAACGGTACACGCGTGCTGACCACCAGCACCGCCAAAGCATGCCAGGTGGTGGGATGCAGTTTCGAAACCGCGAGCTTCCGTCAGGTTGCGAATGGGGCGAGCCATCGACTCATCCGCAACCTTCAAGAAACCTAGTGCCACCTCCTCCGCTGTGAACTCGGATTGGCCCTTTTCTTTTCTCTCGGTATTGATCTTTTGCGTCAGCTCGCTGAAAAGCTTAGTCGTAATCTCAATGTCAAGAGGCTGGTCTTCATTGGGTCCAAAGATGTGAGGGAAGTATTCCGGAAGCAGTCGGCCGAGGAACAGGTTGGCGTCGGTAACGGTCAGAGGACCGCCTTTGCGGTAGCAGGCAGGGCCCGGATGAGCTGACGCCGATTCAGGACCGACGTAGAAGAGACCGTTGCGCCACGACAAAATAGAACCGCCGCCGGCAGCGACAGTGTTGATGTCGAGCTGAGGAGACTGAATGAGAACACCGGCCACCTTGGATCCGAAGACGTGCTCGAGGTGACCGTCAAACCGTGACACATCGGTTGATGTGCCTCCCATATCGAACCCGATCACTGGAGTCTTCTCCTGAGGATCCCAGCTCGTCGCAGCAAAGCCAACCACACCGGCAGCAGGGCCCGACAGGATCGCTTTCAGCCCGCTGAATCTGCGAAAGTCGACCAACCCACCGTCAGACTGCATAAACTCAAATCGGCATTCGTGCTGCTTCTCGAGCCCGCCCTCGAAGCTAGCCGAAATTGAGTCGATGTAGGTTTTGATGACAGGTGTCAGATAAGCATCTGCGGCCGCAGACATGCCTCGGGGAACCACCTTGATCATGGGCTGGAGTTTGGATGACAAGGTGACCGAGAAGCCCATGCTTTCAGCCAGCTCCCCGATGATGCGCTCGTGCTCAGGATAGGCGAACGAGTGGACGAGAGCAACCGAAAGGGACTGGTAACCCTTTTCCTTCAATTGTTGTAATACTGGACGCACCTCCTTAATGTCTAGTTCTTGTACTACCCGGAACTTTTCACCCGTTGTTCCCTCCACTACGCGAGCATTCTGAAAGCAGTCCTTGTCGGCGAGAGGGTGGCATGGTACGACACGCTCGTTAATTTCAACCACTTGCTCGGGCAAAACTCCGGGTCTAGCCATTGAGAGATCGAAGATGTTTGGTCGTGATTGGTCGCCAATCTTCAGGAGGTCACGGAAGCCTTTGGTGGTGAGGAGCACGGACCGCGCTCCCTTACGCTCCAGCAGAGCATTTGTAGCGACTGTGGTTCCCATGCGCAAGCTCCCAATGCGATCAAGTTTCAACGGCTGGCCTCGCGGGTGTGACTCGCCAGTGACGAGCTCAAGGATCTGGCGAATTCCCTCCGTCGGAGCATCTTGGTAGTGACCGGGGTCGACGGAAAGTAGTTTGAGGATGATGTCGGGGCGACCCGGGACCACGGCGTGGACGTCAGTGAAGGTACCACCGCGATCGATGGAGATGGTGATCTTGTCTGACCCGGGCATGATGAAGGTTAGGGTGAAGAAGGATGAAGAGGAGAGAGGGAGGAGTGAGGAGAACAAGAAGGAAAGGGAAAAGGGTATCAATGGCTGTTTTCAATCACAACATGGATGGAGGGGCATTCCCCAGGTTAAAATAACTGGGGGATGCGATAAGCCATTCCGCTGTCGTCACCGGACCTCCCTCTATGTCCGCAATCGTTCATTGGTTGTAGGTCACGTGTCGGCCCGATGCAACCCCCGGATCGGGGCAGCCGGACCGATCAAGCCGAATGCGATAACGGATGCTGATAACATCCTAGATAAGAAAGAGGTCTCATGAATGATCATGGCTCTTGGAGATGGAATATAGTGGGAATTAACTAAATTAGTGTCATACTTATAATGTGTCAGCAATATCATGCTAAGGAAAAGTTATAGTTACCGCTTGTATCCAACATGAATGTAGTCATTCTCCATAACCTCCATAGTAGTCCTAGTTGTGGTGGTATCTGAGCTGCGTAATGACAGGATATATATTCATTCAACACAGCAGTTTCAAGCCAGATGAACCACCACGTTGACTCAACTACTACTAAGTACAAACATATAAGACAAGCGATCAGAA